CTTTACAAAAAAAAAAAAAAAAAAATCACACTTTAAATTTACTTTATACGATTTATACTACATGTTATTGTAGTGCTTCAAAGTAAAATCAAAATGCCTTTTCCTTCTTACTTTCCAAAATGACTTCAAAAGCCAAAAAGGTAACCTATACAAACAAAACTCTCCCTCTCTCTTAAAAGTGTGGAATATTCCCCCCCCACCAGTAACCTCTGAATCAAACACTTCCTTCAAAAGAAAGTGCAGGACATAAACAATAAACAGCAAAAGGGAATTGTATCAACTTGCTTTTCTTCCCTGCAGCTCCCCCTCCTGAAATCAAACCCCTTTGTATATAAATTCAACTTTAAACTTCTTCTCCATTCCCTTTCAAAGAAAACTGAAATGAGGCTCTGCTTTGGAAGTTTCTCTTCTGTTTTACAATTCCATTTCTTTGTTTCTGTATGGTTTGACCCATTGCTTATTTCAACCAAGAAACAGCAAGAAAAAAAATAACCAAACCATTCCAACTTCATCGCTTCCTCAAATCTTCCACGCACAATTTTCAACAGACATAGAACTTTACAAAAGAAATCTGCTGAACAAAAGCAAATGTGTCTGGTAGCCTGTGGGGGGATATAACCCTCGCTATCCTGCCCCTTGGGGCATTACACTGTGGCTTCAGGGCTGCTTTCATTGTGCTGATCCCAAATCTGCAAACAGAATGGGCTGCAGACATTTGCTGAGAAGCTGCTGGAGACTTGAGAGAGATGCATGTTTACCAAAATTGTGGGAGATCTCCTCTTTTTAATTATTATTTATTTTTTCCACAGCAGCTGCATGGAGCCTGCTTAGGTGCCTGGTGCTACGGTGCAGGAGCGCGGCTCGTGCCCTGCCCTGGCAAACCGTTATGACTCCAGAAAGCAGAGGGTGGCATGCAGGGCTGCATTTAGGCATCTCTTTATATTATTCTAGCAAAACACTGCAACTTTCCTTGCCTGCGGGATTTTAGACCCTGCAGAGGGTGCACCTCCATGGGGGTTTAGCCCCTGCATTGTGGGGGTTTAGCCCCTGCAGAGGGTGCATCCCCTCCTTCCCCTCCCACATATGCCAAGAATTCCCCCTCTCCCCTTGCTGCTCACCCCCCCCACCCCATGAATGCCTCTCACTTACCCACAGCTCCGTGCCCCAGCTCATGGCTCCACCAGATCCTGGGAAGGCAGGGTGAGGGGAGCAGCCCTGCAGGGCAGGGGGCAATGTTTAGTCCCTGGGGGGGCTGGCCCCCTTTTCCCCCACCCCTCCCAGCAGCCAGCTGCCCCCTCCCCAAGGAGGGAATGCACCAAGCAGCCCCGCTCCTGGGGCTGGGGCTCTCCCCCTCCTCTCCTGTGGTCACGGCTGCTGCCTCATTGCTTCCTCCACAGCAAAATGGCCAAAGCAGCAGCAGCAGCAGTACAGGCGGGTGGGGGGGCAGTGACAGCTCCAACACACTGCGCAGGCGTGTGTGTCCGCCTCCCCACGCTGTGGGGCTTGCGCAAGCGCACGTGGCAGGCGGGGAGGCTTGTGCAGGGCAAGGGGGTGCGCTGCCTCCGCCACCCTGCCATGTGCACGATGCAGTCCCCCCTGCCCCGATCCGCCCCGCAGCGGGGGCGAGGGCTGCTTCCCCAGGATGCAATTGCAATCCTCGCAAGCGCTTCACCCCCAGCCCCTCGCTCTCCTCCCTGCAAGGTGCTTTATACCGGCCCCGTCCCGATCCCCCCAGTCTCTTACCAGTCCGAGAGCGCTGCCTTTGCAGTGGGTTAGAGGGTTTGTTTGTTTGTTTGTTTTTTGGTTTCGTCCCCAAGAAACTGAGCTATGACCGTGAAGCTGGTGCTGTGAAGG